TCGTTGGTCTCCGGTATAACCCAGACCTGCAATCTCATGTCAGCAGGTACGTCGATCAAAAGTTGAGGGGTATGCATGCCTCGGAGCTGTCATCTTCAATGACCGGTCGAGGAAGGTACTGGACCGGTTTCCGCTTGAACAATACCTAAACAGCCAAGTCAGTCTCGTTGCAACTTTCTTCCTGCCATCCAATCCGTCCCATATCCAGCGCATTGTGGAATATTTTCGCGACATACCATGGTCCTTCAAGGAAAATTAGTTATAATACGATCGATCATAGACTGCTCGGGGTGGTGGAAAGCATGGATGTGACTAGAAAGCGCAAACAATAGTTAGTTATACGTATGACAGAGACAAAGGACAAAGAATCCAGAAGATAAAGAGCAATGCGCGGTGCAAAAAGAACCCAAAGCACGTAAAAGACTCATTGTGCTTTGAGACGTGGGTTCGATGCGAAATGCCTGCGCGCGGAGAGATCCTTGGGATCCATAAAAGGCGATCCGATGGCGCATCTGCAAGCCTGGGCAGTCGCCAACGAACATGCGAGGTCTGGATGGGAGTGTAGATCGCGGATTTACTCACACGACGCGTGTTCAATCGCGCTTCACACCAGTTTCGCGGACCCGGGGCGACCAAGACACGAGACGAGGGAAGCGTGGAGCCGCAAGCTCAGTCGAAAGTGGAGTCGAGATCTAGATGCGGGTATAATATCCCAGGGAGACGGGGCTGCGTGCGGGGAAGATGCGCGAGGCGTGAGGGAGGGCAGCAGTGAAGAAGAGGCACTGAGAGAGAAGGCAAAGAGAAGAAAGAGAAGAGGAGGAGAAGGCAGAAAGGAGAGAAGCGGTCGCCGCAAAAGAGCGACGGCAGAACCGGGCCCCATGAGGATCATTGCGGCAAGTGGTGGGAGGGCCGCCGAGGCACCGGGCACGGTGATTGGCCGAGAGGAGGAGAACAGAACGGACAAGACGTCGGGCGGACGCTCGGTAGGGATTCGCTGCCGCTATACCGCTTCGGGCTGCTTCTCCTTCCCTTAACCCTCTCCCACTCCCCGTCTTTGCCCCCCAGTGCCTTTTTCCTCTCTGCTCGTCCCTCTCTTCCCCCAATTACCCCCATGTTTTTGCACTCATTCGACTCGTCATTTTCCGGAGATTATCCTGAGATAATTTTGGTATTACCTGCATCGATTCTGTTCCTTTTACCTGGCTCTATCTGATCACGGCCTGACCCGTCTGCGGGGACGATCTCACTGACCTTGCGACTCGAGGTCAACAAGCCAGTAGTTTTGCAGCCACATCCAGATTTACATACCTTTCTGACTTACTACAATCATATACTTTGAGTTTCTGGTAACTTAGTGCTATTGCCATTGTCGTAGCAAGCTGTCTGTTCTGTCTGTATCATAGTTCGACTTGACAATTCTCGTGTAGTTTCACCCGGGTACTTGGGCTGATATCCATTCAATGCTCGGAACCTGCCCATTATCGCACCCAACTCGTTCTGACTCACTAGAAGCAGGTATGCATTTGTATTCCCTCTATCTGCATCCCTCAGGCTACCTTGGCTGAAGTCTATGCTGCTACCGAATTATAGTCGGCTACAGTATCACTTTGCATGCTTGATCAGCTTATCATGTACGCATAGTATCAGCTTGCCAACTGATAACAATATCGACTAAAGAGTAGAGCTTGCTTTTTATGTATTTGATACAGTCCATCGGCGAAACTCGGTAGCAATGAAATTTCACGGACTTAGACTCCATAGTGAGCAAGAGTAGCCCGGACTTCTTAGCAGTATACCTAACAATTAGCAGAAGCTCCGCCGATCTGATACTTTGGTATACAACAAATACTGAGACAGCCAAATCTAAAACAAGCTAGCTTTGGTATTTGCCGCGTAAAATCCTTGCTCTCCGCTAGGTCATACGTTGAAAGACTATCCTCAAACTATAGGTATCTCGACTACAGACGTCCACGATTACTACTAAGTAACTAATTCTGTTTTATAATCTCGACTGTTATCCTCATTTCAAAAATAATATAGAGACTGATCTTTCAATTCGTCCAATACTATTATCGCGATCAAGTTACAGTTTTGGCTAACTATAGGGTACATCAGCACCACCCACCGTATTCAACAACACACAACAAGAAAAACGGTACATTCCTTTATCACTTGCATGTAGAAGCTTGTTTTCTGCCATAAACTACTCTGAATATATCACTACTATATTTCATTATATTCGGAAATTGTCATTCAAGTGAAAGCCAATTATCCAAGAACCCGAAAATAGAGTCATGCAATCTTTGCCCCGTCAATAAGAACAACATCAATCAAACGCCCAACATATTCTAGAAGAATACAGCTTACATGTAAGACATAAACCTAAAGCCACCAAAACAATCCCATAGTAAGTGAAACATCTCCCCGAACTCTTTTCTATGTGTTAAGTTCGTACTTACTTTCACTCCCATAGTAACCTCCATCTGACCTATCACCCACCCAAATATATACTAGTAAGTACTTACCCAAAACAAACCACATTCCCCACAACAACGCAAGGCATCCATCCAACCTTTCCACCTATGAAAGAAATTCATCAATCAATATCCACTCTTTATATTCCCAAATAGCACCCAATACACAACCTACTCACATTGTGCATGAAACAAAGCATGAAAGTGGTAAAAGAAGAAGAAGAAAGCAACGGAAGTCTCATCTGCAGTGTGACAATCCATGGGAACGATCCCGATGCGCGCTAAACTGCATTGGGACTGATGGCTGATGATAAACTTTGCAAAACTGGCTGATCAAGTGGGTCCGAGTTCGGGCGATGGGTTGCACGTGGATGAGCCAAACTGAGCAAACAACTGGCGCGCACCGCGTCTGATGATTTGGGGCGGTGTGTGTGCGTGTGTGTGGTGCGGCTGGCTGTGGCGCGGGCGGTGGGTTACATCATGGTTCTTTATCCAACTTGGTGTGAATATTATTGATTTTAGGATTGAAATTTTTAGCTACTTTTTTGGTATCTATATCTATACAGTTTGCTCTCTATCATGCTGTAAAGTAAACCACCATAAATCCAATCCAGCTACCCACGACTCCAACGGCAGAGTAACTGCTCGTGAACATCAGGGGCAGGAATTGCAACCGCTCCAGTCCGAAAATGATCTGGTGCAGGATGGAGCAGTAGATGATCAGTGGGATGGCAATGGTCAGGTACAGCAGGGAGAAGCGATCGGCGACGAAGATCCGGCGCCGCTCGGAGACAGGTGCCACCTGATCAAATACGTAGAGGAACAGCACGAGCCACAGGACTGTGTAGACCGTTTTGATCGGGAATTCGGCGGCAGTAAAGAGTAAGGGGAACAAAGAAACGTGTCCGGCGACAGCCAGGGGGCGGAACGCGCTAAAGTAGCGTCGGTCTTTGAGCGCGATGAGGCTGAACGGGATGATGATCAGAAGTACCGCCTTCTCATGGACGTGCCAGCCGAACAGGAATGATGCATATCCGCACAGGGTGATGGCACCGACAAAAGTCTCCCATTCAGGGTTGCGCCAGAGCTTAATCAACGGCAGCTGGTAACAGTTAGGATTATCGCGTGGAACCAAACCATCTTTAAGCACTTACCAACTGAAACAAGAAGGTCAAGATAAACGTGTGCTCCTTGGTGACTTCAGGAAGTACGGCGAAAGACGTGTCTCCGACAAGACCACGGGTGACACTGACCAGAGCGTCTTGATTGACCGGAAGACCCAACCGCGGAGCAACTGCACTAATTAGTCCCTCTGAACGAGAAAATGGTTTTGGTTTAATCGAACTTACGCTGGATCAAGATGCGATCAGTGAATGAGTACATCGCCCAAACGTTGGGTGCCCAGTACGCATGGCACAACCCTCTAGAGAAGGGGAAGAGCCTGTCCTTCAATTGAAGCAGTTGACCCCAGGAGGCGAACGGTCCGAAAGCCAAGGCAAACACGCCAACCACGCACACTCCGAGCTTGATGATGTTGAAGAAACGAGGGCGGAAAATCGACTTGGGGTCCAGACAGTAGACCCTCAGCAAGTAGACGAAGTATGCCAAGGCAAGGTATAGATAGATGTGCTTCAAGCACAGCAAAACAGCAAAGCTGATCCCACTGTAGAGAAGAGTCGACTGCTTCCGCGCCAGAACGATTGACAAAACCAAGATGCCGTAAAGAAATCCGTTATACTGAAAGTGAATGTGGTCGATAATAAGCAGACCGGGGGACAAGAAGATGGACAGGCTGGCGATGTGCGCAAGGTGTTTGTTTTGTTGCGATACCGACTTGACAAACCTAGTCGTTCCTGAATCAGCAAGTCAAACGAGGCAGAATATGATGTGGGACGAATTACCTGCTCAAAGCGAAGAGCAGAACAAGCTCCGTGACGATAACCGTGGCCCTCTGGAAGTAAATTGTTTGCCATGAATCATGATTAAGGTTGTTGACAATCAACATCGCCGGGTCTGCATAACGTGCCGCCTGGGAGAGTACCCATTCAAATGCCGCGAAAAAGGGAGGGTAGTCGAGCGTCCATTCCGACGTTTTCTAATCGTGAATCCGCAATTTAGTATGGAATCACCCTTGAAGCGGTATGCGCTGGCGGGTACGTACCTCGTAGTACCATTCCTTGACGGGCAACGAGTGTGTAATCGCAAGCCAGTTTCGATGAACCTCAAAATCGGTGGATTTGCTGCACGTTCCAAGCCACAATTCAGCTGTGAGTTCTGCAACCTCGCGGTGCTGTTCTAGACCATTTGCGGAGCAACGTACTATGCGGGGAACAAAAGGATTTTGAAAGCAGTTGCAACAATGGCGCACTGCGCCAAAGAAGGGTATAGATCGGTCATTGGTAGTCTTGCGCTCGACGCGCCGCCCGGAGAAGGAGAATAAAAGGAGCGTGGGGCATGGAAAGGCGAGAGGAAGTTGTGCCAATTCTGGGGAGGGAGAGGAACAATGACAAGAATACTACTAGGCCCATGGAACCCATCCGGGGCGGGGTGCACGTGACCGCGACAGGGGACGGGGAGCAGAAAGGCCAATCTGTCCCCTGCATTTCGCGGCAGATCTTCTGGTTACGATTTGCTGCGGCAATGGACTTGGCTTCGGACGTAGGAGTCCGTCACTCGGTCGTTCTCTCTAGCTTGGAAATTCGTCATCTGGTCGACTTCTCCCCCGCAACTACCTCTATTGCCAGGGAAATTCGTCTCTGCGTGATCGCCATTGTGGTTGGGTGGACCACCTCGCGCGTTGTCTCCGCCTTGTTGAACCGGAGATCGTCGTCGGACCAGTAACAAGATACACCAAGCTTACTCGGAGCTTCACCTTGCTTCTGCTTCTGCTTCTGCTTCTTATCTGGCTCTCCCACTGTCAATTCCTCTCTATTTTTTACCTTTTGATTGCTTTTGCTGTGATTTGGTTACATACCCAGCCTTTCTCCTCATTGTTGTTTGAAACTTAGTACCTGCATAACTTGTTTGCGTGACGAGCCTCCGATTGCATAGACATCATGAAGATCCCTGCTTCTCTCCTTTCTTTGGCTGCTGCTGCCGCAGCTCAATCGGTGATTGAAAGTTCCAGCTTTGGTTTCGGCCAGACGTAAGTGTCACTGTTGCAACCGGTCTCACCGAAGTCGATTCCTGATATACTAATGCCTACCAGGTTATCAACAGATGGCGGTGCCATTTCTGGGTGGCAGACTGGAGGAGAATCGCACAATCCCGACATCGTATGCTGATTATTCCCCTGATGAAGCGCGAAGCCATTGTGTACTAACTGCTCCGTAGCTTTCTAACAAGATTATCCTGACACCGCCTTACCCTGGCAACACCAGGGGATTTGCTTGGTCCCAGACTCCGTAAGTCCTGTCGGCGTCTGCTCTTTGTCTACTGATATTGACCCAATTTTATAGTGTATCGCAATCGGAATGGACTGCAGAGTTCCAATTCAGAGCGACTGGTCCCGAAAGGGGTGGAGGTAACCTCCAGCTCTGGTATGCCAAGGACGGCAAAGACAGAATTGGCACTTCCAGCATCTATACCGTCAACCAATTCGACGGTTTTGCTCTGGTCATTGATAGCCACGGCGGAAGGGTAAGTCCGAACCTACTGTCTGATGGCCAAAGCTAATATTTCGCCAGGGTGGAAGTGTGCGCGGGTTCCTCAACGATGGCACTACAGACTACAAGAGCCACAGAAGCGTTGATAGCTTGGCCTTTGGTCACTGCGACTACCCTTACCGCAACCTTGGACGGCCCTCTACCGTCCGCCTGAAGCATACCAAGTCTGTCTTCGAGGTTACTGTCGACGACAAGCTGTGCTTTTCCACCGACAAGGTGCGTCCATCCAAGTCACATCTCCATTAGCATCAACCTCCTAACCCAAGCAGGTCGCTCTCCCTACCGGCAACGTCTTTGGTCTTACCGCCGCAACCCCCGAGAACCCCGACTCTTTCGAAGTCTTCAAGTTCGTTCTCCAATCCGCCGAGTCTGGAGCAGGCAGCACTGTGCCCGTCCAGCAGCAGAACACCAACCAGCAGCCCATTGCCGCTCAGCAGCAGGCCGTTCCTCAACAGCAGCAGCAGGCACCCCCTGTCAACACTGGCTTTGAGCAGCAGTTTGCCGACCTGAGCAACCGCGTTCAGGGCGTCAACCAAGCCACCGACAACATCCTTCGTGAACTCGGAAGTCAAGACACCAAGACCGCCAACCGCCAGGTCGAGCTCCTCCAGAAGCTCGCCAGCAAGGACCAGATCGCCAGCCTCGACGCCAGACTCCAGAAAATGGAACAGATGCTGCAGACCATCCAGCGTGATCTGGAGGGCAAGGACTACCACGGCCGCTTCAACCAGCTTCAGGAAACCTTGCGCTCGTCTCACCTCAGCTTGACCGAGAACCTTTTGGGAGGTGAGCACACCCCCCTTTCTTTTTTCAAACCATACGAATAGCAACTAACACGCTCACTTACAGTCATCACCTCCTCCGCCCCGCGCATGGGCTTCTTCATCTGCATGATCATCGCCTTCCAGGGTCTTCTTGCCGTGGCTTACATCATCTACAAGCGTCGCCGTGCGAACATGCCCAAGAAGTTCCTCTAAACTTTTCTCATCTCTCTCCCCCCCCACGACTTGAAATGACCTACCAGTCAGCCAGTCTGCGGTAACGAATGATATCACGAGAACCCCGACAGCGCCGTTGTACGGTGTGGGTGTTCCTTCTCTTCGTTATCTGAATAAACCATCATGTGTAACTATTCTTTTATCTTATACTAGCCAACGTTATATCATCTCGCGTTCCTCAAAATACCCCCGGGTCTTCTGTACATGTACATCTACAATTACACTTGCTTGACTTTGATCTCGTTTACTTTCCTATGCGATGAAGCGCAATATAGATAGATGATCTAATCCGGGGTCAATCAATCATATTCATCAAGCAATGTGTCTACTAGACAGCGTGCGATTCGTAAAATGTAATATTAAATCACTAGACAAAAATCATCCTATGATATTGATCAACCTTGCAAGGCCTGCCTCACTTGACTCCAAATCCTCTGATACGTATTACAACATACGAATATTATACCAATCAGGATCACTGACCTCCGGGACAAGAGAAGGAAGAAATGAAGGATTCTGCTTTAAGCCGACTTATCAGCGAGTAAATCCCGTAGTGCGGTATTGCCCGGATACTACGGAACCAGCAAGGACCGAAGGAGGAGGGAATTAGTACCACCACCTCTACTACCTTACTACTGCGCTTCTACGGAGAGATATGGAGTGGGTGGAACGGAAATGAAGTGTAAAATGCATGAAAATTTCAGAAATGGATATTTGTGTGTTGGTAGACCGAGACGCACCACTGATCATGAATTTAAGGGGTAGGTCCCTTTTGGATCTGGATGGTGTGGTGCGTCTCGGTCTACCAACGTTGTCTAAAAAAACATGAGAGTAGAAAAGAAATTGGCCCATCTCTCCTGGGTAGACCGAGACGCACCACTATTTCTAGGGGTAGGTCCCTTTTGATGTGGTGGGTGTGGTGCGTCTCGGTCTACCCAACATTGTCTGAAAAACACACATGAGTGAAAAAATTGGCCCATCTCCCCCAGATGGACCGGCCGGGGGAGATGGGACCGGACATTGAAAAAGTAAAAAAACAGTAAAAAAAAGAAAACATTGAAATGGGAAAGGAACATGAAAATGCCTCGCAGCTATTGCTGCGTTTCTTATGCAACATTCAATCAATATGCCCAAGCATGCCATGCTCTGTATGCGCCAAATGTTCAATAAGCCGAAATGGGACCGTGGTTTTTTTGCACATAAAAGAATAAAACCATCTAATGTGGAAACTGTAGTAGGACGCCGACGCCTTATTCCCTAATGCCACGGGTGATCCCTGCCAACCACTGCGATGCGCCGCGCCAAACTGAAACATGAACAGCAATACAAATAGTAGTTAACCAAGGTCGTAGCATGGCGTAATAATATAGAAGGTTGAAGTGTTAAAATCTTTGTAAAGCATGCGCCGACTTGGTCTGGCGCAAGTGACACTGACAAGGCGAATCATCGCCAATATGTGACAACCGATAGTGTCTCAGTGCGGAGACACCGGTTGTGGCTTTTAATCTATGCACAGAGGATTAGCCTGGTGTTTCTTTTCCTCTCTTTTGTTGTCCTTTTGTTTTGATATGTGTTTTGGAAACTTTTTTTATCATGTTTTTTTTTTGTTTCTTTTTCTTTTCTTTTTTCGGTTTTGCTGTTTGTTTATCGAGAACGGAATGGCTGTTCCCGACAGAAAGTTGCCGTGACTGGCAACGTAATAGGCTCCGTGATTCGATGATGGGGTTTGACTCTGACGATATTTGAAGTTATTCCTCTGATGGAACGGCGAAGGACTAAGTGCTGGCTGGCTGGGGCGGCTCCGACTGCGCATTCAGCACCTGAATGCGTTGTTCAATTAAATTCTGTAGAGCACGAAGAGAGGCGATCTCCGTGTTGGCCGATGGAAGATCGGGCGGAGCGTTTGCCTTGAGTTGGTCGATGAGCAAACCGATCTTTCCATCTTCAGGCCCTTGCCTAGTAGGTCCGTCGCCCTGTGCGAGTGAGATGAGGTTCGCGGCCGCTTCCCGCTCAGCGATAGTGCGTGAGTTCAAGATCGCAGCCGCTGTGTCCTCTTCCGGAAGAGCAGGCTTCTGAGACGAGTAGAATGCATTGGCCTTGGCCACGAGCTTGTCGAATTCTGAGGTGGCATAGTCGAAATATTTGCCCGCGGCCTCCTTCATCAGCTTGTATTCCTCATTTTCCCTTCTCCACAAGTCAGACAAGTCAGAGATTTAACCAACAATCACGCTTAGGAGTCTACTCACCTCTTAACTGTTTGGATGAAGTCCATTTTTAGACCGCGCTCTGACACACGGTACATGATACCTTCCTCTTCCTGTTCCTCCATTCTCTCGACCTCTTCCTCATCTGGAAGGACTTCGACGTCGATCATTCGGGGTCGCTTCGGACGACGAATGCGCTTTAGCACATCGTAGCCCTCCTCGTCCTTGACCCAGTATTGTAGATCATGCCACACGTGATTAGGGCACATCCAGCTGTGGTTCCTACGATTACTTCCGCCCTTCTGGATGGGAGGCATGGGCATAGGCGGGTCACAACAATCCATGTGGAAAGCACAAGGACAATAGTCGCACTGGATGATGGGCTGACGGCCGCCACTCGTGCGACCGCAAGCTGCGCAAAGAATCACATTGCCTTTGGCATCTTGTGTTCGTAGCAGATAAGGGTCATCATAACGGCCATGCCGGGCCCCTCGGCGGGGATAGAACTTGGGAAGTGGCACGACCTCATCGTATTTGTTCTCTTCGCCCGTAGCCACACCGGTGAAGTAATCGCGGATGCCAAGGGGTAAGAGGTAGTCTTTCTGCGGAGCGTTGTCCAGGGAACCCAGCAAAGACGTCATAGGCTTTGACAACGAGCATTTCGGGCAAAACCAATCCCCCTCTGGAGGGTTTGCCGGGTCCAATGGCGGGTTAAGACAGGAGAAGTGGAAAGAATTTGGGCAGCCATCACAACACAGCAGCTGGCCGCTTCCGTTACAGTTGTGGCAGAAGTCGTTGTTCTCCTGGCGTTCGTTGTCGCTTCTGCCAGCATGTTAGTGTTCAGAGGAACAAGTGGTAAAGAGACAAGGGTAACTTACGTCAGGGTAGGTGTCAGTCGTCGGTTGTCGCCGGCATCACTACTGGCTGGACTCTCAGAGCGCTGTCTGCTACTCACGCCAGCTCCCAGTGATACTGGTTGAGATCTACTGGCTGCAGTGGGGACAGGAGATGGCACATTAGACTGTTGTGGGTCAGAAGCCAATGAGGAACGCATCTGACTTTCCAAAGGTATAATGGTTGGGAGAGGCTTCTGCAGGCGAGTACGCTTGATTCGTGCCTCTTCCTCGGGGTTCGGCTCGTCTTCAAGCGCATGCTTCTGTGAGAGAGCCGTAGCAGCACTGGGCGGGGCGACTGGCTCCTTCTTCTTAGGTGCACCCCTTTTGGCCTTCTTACCCCTGGCGCGAGTACGGGAAGTTGCCGCTCCAGGAGCCATGCCGGGGGCAAAAGTCTCAGCATCAAGGGATACCGCCGAAGAGAGTGATGAAATGCTGCTGGCCGACCGGGGGCGAGCCAAGACAGGTGCCGTGGCAATATCTTCGTCGGCTTCCGCCTGGACCTCCTTCCATGCAGCGCGCATAACACTCTGGAAGGCTGAGCGTTCCCGCGGGCCGGGATTCTCCTGGCAGATGCCATCGAGAATAGAAAGCGCAAAAGGGTCTTTGTTGCATGTCTCCCACAATCTAATGAGACCGCGTGAAACAGGGCGATTGTTGGTCTCTAGCGCCAGTCGGAGGGCTTTTTCGACAGCAATCTTGATGCGATCGACGTCTACATCGGTCGATGTAGGAACAGGCAGAGAAGTAAAAGCAGACATGTCCGGCGAGGCCTTGTTCTTAGTAGACAGAGGTTCGTCCATCGGCTCTTCGGCGGGCGTTAAGGGGGTCTGAGGTTTGGTATCACCTCCCTCGCCGTTCGGTGTGGCCCGTGACTCCTTCTTCGCAGAGATATTCTGGACACTGGGCTTGATAGGTGCCAGTCCAACCTTGCGCAAGTCGGCAGCCGACGGCATGGTTCCCAGTGGGCGCATACTGGACAGTACGGGGTTCGCGTGATGGGACACATTACACCAGGGCGTGTCTGCGAAGCTGGGTTCAGGCTCTCTCAATGGTGGTTCAACCCATCCGGCACTGCTATCAAGAAGGTTTGTATCACTCAGAGTGTCTGAAGCCTCATTCTTCGATTGTTCCAAACGCGACTGGGTACGAGAGGGCGGGTCCTGAGGAGGATCGGTAGCCACGCGGCTGTTCCAGCCAGTGCGGCGCTGCTTGCGAGGCCGTGTAGAATCGGTGAGCGAAGAAGCAGTGCTTGCAGTAGTAGGTGCGCCAAGTGGAGTGGAGGGGCGAGAGTTATTCGACCAGGCGTGGGACGACGAACGGAGATTCGGAGCCATTGTTGTAGACAGGGCTCACAAGTTGCAACGGCTACAGAGCCAGGGTTAGCCTGCGAAAACAAAAAGTTGCGACAGACGAATTGAAATGACAATTACTCACAGATTAATAGATTCCAAGCAAACACCGAGCGTGCCCAGCGTGGCTGGTTGGAATCGAGGCCAGCCCGCGCGCTGTCTGCGGGTTGATGGAAGGAAGAAAGGTTGCGGAGTTGGAGTGCCGGAAGTTTTCGAGTCCCAATCAGGCCTCCCTCTAGGGGGTTCGCCGCGGAGCTCTGTCAACCACGAAATTACCAGACACCCTCAATCTGATTTCCATGTACATTAGATTCTTGAAACTGGATTTCGTGTTGTATAGAATAGAAGACTTATTGTCTTCATTTTCTGGAGTGGTGTGCTTACTAGAGTGACCCTATGATACGCGTCAAGGGGCCGTGAGATAGAATCGTAATAAGAGCCAACACAACTCTGTAAATCCTGCCTAAGTGTCTTACATGACACAAGCTGCAATAGGATCGAGGGTGTGTAGAAGTTAGAATGAAGGCTGAGTTATTTCAGAAAGTTTTCAAGTCCTGTGATTGGGTCAGCCGTTCAACATCCTGAAGCTTTCCAAGTCCAAGTCTGATGCCCAACGCATGCGGACTACATGGCAGCGTCCTGATGATACAGTGAAGTCCGTCCAGTGCTTAAGGTACATACAGCAGCAGGAGAAGACACAAGAAGACGAAAGCACGAGCACCGGCTTGGTCCGTAGGAGTAAGCCAAGCTCTGGGAAAGGAGAACACACGCGCAGTACACAGCTCCAGGACTATATTCAAACTTACCAGGTACGACAAAGTCAATCAGCAGTTCTCGGAGCAGTTTCTTCTGCTGTAGCTGATACAAAGATGACGTATTGGAAGGAAGAAGACACGATGTATGTGCCGATGTAGATGCCAAAGAAGGAGATGGCTAGATTCAACGACAAAGAACAATCTGGTGAAGCGTTTGAAACCACAAGCAAAGCGAACCTTCTCTAAAAGGCAGACAAACGAAGAAGATGATGGATAAGCGGAAGAAGATGTAGGTTAGTGAGGAGGAAAGGATGAATGAGAAAGTTTGAAGAGAAACAAGGAAGCAGGACAGCAGTGTCCGGAAACTCAGAAGAAAGGTCAAGTTCGCAAACGAGGATTCTGCAATGTGTTATACACAACGCGTGTGTTTTCTATGCAGAAAGATCGTGGCTGACTTCTCTGGAAAGGTTCCGATATCAGACTGATGAGTAGGAGGGGTTGACGATGCGGAAGGGCAAGGAGATGTGATTCTTGGACGCGTTGCTCAGGTAATAACTTGGGCTACACGTTGTAGAAGAATAATCAAGAATGAGAAGTGAAGAGAAGAGAAATTGGAAGGGGGAAAGCGAGTAGTTAAGAAAGCTGTTGTGGCTGTGGTTCTTTGGAGAAAGTGAAGCAAGTGAGTGAATGATACTCCGATATCACTGAGCGCGAATTTGCAGCCGCGGGAAAAGAAGGGTACAACACTGCCGCAAGTACTCCAGAGAAGTAGACAGTAAATGTTTCTCCTGTATTTAGAATAACAGACCGTCCAGAGATGATGGAAGTCGGCAGGAGAACTCTGGGTAGGAAGTGGAAAGGGGAAAGGCACAGGGAAGGGAGAAGATGGAAGATGGAAGAGGAGGAAGGATTGGGGAGAAGCCAGACGGAGGTCAGTTGGCCCACTCCTTCAACCTCCATGCCCTCTCAACCCCAGACTGCCCAACACACCTCTAGGAAGCTCTCAGTGAATGAGCTGGGACGGGCTGAACACAGTATGTTCACTCAAATCCACCTTCTTGGATAGACAGCTGGTCCTCCACTCCGTGCCTCCCGCCCCAAGCCAACAAGCTGGCTGACTTCACTGCCGGTAGATGGCTATATGCTGAACCCTACTGTTGAACAGAACGAACAGTCTACTTGGAAGAGAGGGAAACTATCAGACCCAAGCTTAATGATACTGACAAAGAGAACTACTAAATGTTGCCTTTTCCTTAAGCCTTTGTCGGGGGTGGGGTGGCGGCAACGGCTGGGCAAGCAACCTGCCTCTCCAGTATGACAGTCTCCCGAGATATACCACACCCCCTTAAAGCACCGAAAGAGATGATCTAATGCTTGGTTGACCGGAAAGCTCATCGGGGGCGGTATGTCCTCCTCTCTGGAGGCCATGGGGAAGGGGCCGGGTTATGCTGACCTCACCGTTAGATACAACTGAAGTCCGAACGGTTCATCGTACATAATCCCATTGCCTGCACATAAAAGCGAGTAGAAAGAAATCACTCCGGGAACACCTGCAATCATGTATAAAGGCGGCAAATGTAAAAGCGTGATATGCAACATCGGAGGCAAATTTCAGACCGGTATACATGGGCCGGATAGATCTAGTAATGTTGATGGAAAGCAAGATTTTCTGCCTCATTTTTTTGCTTCTTTTTATTCAAGCATTTACATATCGCATCTTCTGAACTTCTGAACTAGTTATGTGACAACAGGTTTTGTAATAGGGTATTATGGAAGACATCAGTCTCCCACATGGCTCATCTTTCGCACGGATTTCCCCCATCCCTCATCATCTGCAGAACTCCCTGGATGCAGCTCCAAAAAGGATCGTTGTAATGGCGCGCATCGCCAATGCTTCGGTATGACGAAGAATGTTTCCTGCAAAGAAATCATAGGCTTTCATTTGAGCCAAACCAACACGCCCACGGACACGGCAGATGTGACGCCCAGGTCAGACGATGATTTACTCGTCAGCCTTCTTGGCGGCGGTCTTCTTCTTGTTGTTCTTGTTCTTCTTGGAGCCGGTGGATCTGGCCAACGGGCGCTCGAGGATCGCAAGGATCTCCTCGTCCTCGATCTTCTTGTCCGTCTGGAACTTGGAAAGATCAGGGGTGGTGGGAGCGGCAAGACGGGTGATGCCGTTCTTGGTAATAGCTAGAGCCTTGTTAGAAGAGAGATCTTCTGGGGTAACCGTAGATCAATGGGAAGATGCAAAACATACCAAGAGTGGTCAGGACGCGGGAGACGGGAGCGTTGTCGGCATCACCGGCGGGCTCGTACTGTCTCAGGACACCACCACGGACACACTCGACAACACCAACCTTGGCAGACTTCTCATCATCCAGCTGGCGCAAGCTGAAGGGGAACTGGCCAAACTTCTTGACGATCTCGGAGAGAGTCTGTCTGGAGCTAGGGCGCTTGAGGCCGTAGGTGGTGGTGGTACGGCGGTGGAGAGTGGCACGGTGAGGGAGGGTCTTGACCTTTCCGGATCCGAGAGACAGACCAAGCTCAACACCCCAGACTTCACCGACCTCGGGGACACCCTCGCCCTTGACACCAGCGCCGGGCGAGAGGATGATCTTCTTCTCGCCTTCGATCTCGTTGCGGTCAAACAGCCAGCTGGTGGTGTTCTCGACAACGTTGCAGTCGTAGGCCTTGGCGACCTTCTCAATCAACTGAGTGATCTGAGCCTGGGTAGGAGGCTTCTGGGCAGCGGCCTTCTGCTTCTCCTCATCAGTTCCGCTGGCGAGCAGGCCAGGGGGAACCATAAGTCTCAGGAGAAGCTCGTTGGCGTAGTGAGTGGCGTGGATAAGGTCAGCCTCGCGGCCGGTCACCACATCGGCGGACGAGTTGCTGTCGGCGACAACGACCATGTCGCAAACGATGGTACCGAAGCCATCGATCTGAGCACCAAGCTGGATCTTGGCGATCTCACCGGCCTTCAAGGTGGTCTCGGCCTCCTGAGCGTCGGACACCAGGGGAGTGTAGGGAGTCACATAGGAGCTGGGAGAGACAGTGGTGGGGTGAGCGATACCTTTCCCCGGCGCATCACGTTAACTCGCTGATCTGACACTGGTTTCTCCGGACTAACAAAGGGAACATACCCTTCTGGATCTTCTTGCCCTTGTAGACCTTGGCAATCTCCTCCTCGAGGAGCTGGTCACCCTTCTGGCAAAGCTCAACGATCTTGCTGCCCTCAACACACCATCCTAGTATCACGAGATTAGAATTTCGTAGCCCTAAACAAGGCGCAGACGCCCGGGTCGAGGAATCACACACCTGAGACGGCTTCGAGAACCTTCTGGGAGATCTGAGCAGCGGTCTTGTACTTGGTCAAGGTGTCGGGGTTGTTGAGGGTGTAGTCTAGAAATGGACCGAGGCCGGGTTAGTTAGGGTGGAGAGCGAACAGGCATGTTTTAAGCCGGAGATTGTAAGGTGATGATAGAGATGAAGATATTGAACAGTCAGTTCAAGACGAGGGCAGGTTGCGATCGTTCCGTAACGCTCGTCCGCTGCTCCAGAGTCGTCGCCAAACCTAAGCCGAACCATGACGACGAAAGCAAGCGGGAGCCCACAAACGCCGGAGCTTTTTTCAAATTGGAGGGACCAAGAGGGGTAGCTGGGATGTGGCATGAGCACTTACCAACCTCGGGGGCCTGAGTCTCAGCCATTGTGTATCGATAGGGGGATCCTCGCGCTGCTGCGAGGAATAATTACAGATGAAGGTATCTGGGGGAGCAGTAGTTCTAGCACAACAGTAAGAGAAAAGAGGAAAATGGACTCTGCTGGAGAGCTGGAGAACCTTACTAGTAGTGAGAATGGAGTCGTGTGCACCGCACCGTATTATTTACCACCAATACACCTGGAGCGGGGGCTTCGGCCTGGGTTTTCGCTGCGTTGGCGGTGGGGTTCTCTTCCCTTTCCGAGTAGGGCTTGGTATCTGGATGTTTTGCTGTTACCCTCCGCTATTGTGCAGCTGACCGCCTACCATTTTCTTTCATTTAGTAACAAAACCTTGTGGTTTTGTTTCGTTGCCTGCTTGACTGGCTGGCCCTTTTGACGCCCAACCCGCTATTCAGCATTCCCCTTCACATTAACTACTCCGGACTCTCCTGTCTTTTGGTAATTGTTTGGGTTGACCAATGCTCTGTCTCATAGAACTCCTCGAGCTTTTCTTTCGAGCTTCAGACGGTTACCGAGCGAAGTTATCCCGTAACAGGCGTACAACTTCTCTTGATCATTCCCATCCTAATGATTGCCCCATGTCATACCAAGTAAGTGCAAGTTCCAGATTATCCAGTATGACATCACACCTCAGGTCTCAGTCGCCACAAGTTGTTCTCATCATTACTGCTTGCAAACCGATCGCTTGCGAGATCTTCAACCTAGACTGTACGTACCCCTTTCACTGTAGTACACAGTAGGACAAACCTCCTCCTTGGCATTAGTAGATGGCACGAACCGGACTGCGGAGGTTTTATCGGATTGAAGGTTCAGACCGCTGTCAAACCTGGATTATGCCCTTGACGCTACAGCACATGAGGCCCGCAAAGCCAGAGTGACGGTGTCCTGGATACGATTCCAGGAATAAGGAATGGGTGGTTGAGAGTGCTAATAACGATCGCTGCGTGTCATTCCAGCGGAGCCGAGACCACGACGGAACAGCGCGACTAGGGCCATTGTTTCTTCTTCTGCGTAGTACTTTTTTCAAGGATATTTATGCAAGACTTTCCTTCGATTTCGATATGGGAAAGGTTGCTGCGTGGCTGACCGCTCTATGCTCCACGTCAACCCAGACGAAATCGTTGGCTTGCACATGGCTTGACTGAGTAGAAAGTACGCGGGCCACGGCCCATGCACGCTGGCTAGGAATTAATAGCTCTGAGCCAGCAACTAACAGGAACTAGCTTTGACCATTCGGTTGGTTTTGAAATTATGAGAAGAAGAAATGGTGCTCAGACCATGGATGTGCTCCAGAAAGGCGAAGGAATCTAGTGCTTGCTGAAGGAGAGCCTCGCCATGTGATGATAATGCTGATCTCCTACTTAATTTTCCCATGTTCTTCGGGCTATCCCGCCAAGCCTATCCCACTGATGACTACTCGTGTGTTCTGCTGAGATGAGACCATGGCAAATCAATAATAAGCACATATTATAGGATAATAGAAACCCTGAAAGGCAATGGGCACACCCAACCATCTGTGCAGCAATAATAATAATAAGTAAAAGAAGGTGGAGTGTTCAAGTCTGTCACTGCCTCATGGCCCGCTAACGTGCATCCACCATCCACGCTTCATGGCTACTTTTATTGATCAATGGCTTCCTTCAGCCTACCCGAAGTCTGCAGGATTTGGCCCCCCCGCCCATGTGTGACCACCACATGGATGTCCTGCAGATTTTCGGGGCTTACCTTCTCTCTGACGGGCCCTTTATACCGCCCCAGCGTTGAGTTTGCTTGAAAAGTTTGGGGGCCGAAGGCCTAATTAAAAAATGCGTTCTGACAGGATGCGAAGTTACGGTCTTATATACGCCCCTCTCCTCGTCAGACGAGCGCAATGTCCTTGAGAGGCATCGTTGTATCGGCCTCCCGATGTGTCACCCTTCCCTTTACACGGGTGCGTTTTATCAGTGCCCGCAGCCGGCATCATGGGCTCGATTACAGAGGCAATAGGAAAGCGCACAACAGAGCTGTCTCATGATGGAAGGGATGTGGCCATCACCTTGGCCGTGTGCGTTTTCCTGGCAACGCTCATCACGGGTCTCCGCTTCTGGTTGTCCAGAAGACGAAGGCCATTATTTTCCATGCCAGAATCCATGACGCTCGTGTCTCTGGTAAGTCTTGTTGGCAATTCCCTCCGCCGACAATCCAAAAAGGATTCATTTTGGTCCTTCTAGCTCAATATCTGACGGGATCGTTGCAGCTCTTATTCTACTCCTACGCCGTGGCGACCTACCTGAGTATGTTTTCGCGGCTACCCCAGAAAAGGACTTGTTGGATTCTAACGGATGTCGCATTTGCCTACTAGTTCTGACAATCGGGCACGGTGGCTACCCAACGTCTCAGACACAGAGTTGGCGGCTTACGTTCACACTCAAGGTATGTATGCGTCCAATAGGCTGCCAACGCTTCGATACTAATGACTGCAAACAGTGTATCTACTATCTTCGGTTGGCTTACGCCACAGGACTGGGCTTGGTGAAATGCAGTATCTTGATGGCCCTGTTCAGATCCCTCGCTGCTTCATCCAAGGCCGCTCGACATGCGATCTTGATCATCATGGCGGTCTGCATTTCCTGGAGCCTTGGGGCTACCCTCATAAGCCTCTTGAACTGTCGCCCATTGAGCTACAACTGGAACCTGCAACATTCGGAAGGCCACTGCATCAATCGAAATGCTGCCTTTATGGCAGTGAGCATCATTGACGTTGTGACAAATGCCGCAATTCTAGTTTTACCGCTGCCTAGAATAATAAGAACAAAGATTACCCTACCGGAGAAACTAGTGATGATCAGTCTTCTGATCTTGGGGTTATTGTAAGTAACTCGACACTGCCTCTTTCAAGCAGGCCGGGCACTAACCTGCTTCCAAACAGTGTTGTTGCCATTACTGCGGTCCGCACAGTAACCATCGCCAGAACGGACTTTTCTGCCGTTAACGACCATGGCAAGATGATCAGCATTTGGACAACGGTGGAGTGGACGGTGGCGCTTATGATAGCCAATTCTCCTGTGCTGTGGCCTTTGCTCGACTGGCTCGCTCCTTTCCATTCTATGGAGAACGGTCCATATGAACGATCGGCATACAACCCTTCATGTCACTTGCTAAAGCGTCTGCGACCAACAACTTTGCATGAATGCACTCAAACATTAACATCGAAGACGGCGGTCACGGAGACAGGCTCAGTCCACTCATCTCGATCTATCATTCGAGGGTTCGGGGCCAATTGGACAGAGGCAATCGGGCAAGCACAACAGCCAGATCCTTTTCTATCGCTAGAGCCGGGCGCAGTGCGAGTGCAGACTGAATGGTCAGTTGAACGGTCATCAGTGGGCAGACTGGATCGATTAAGGCCGGGCAGAAAATGATAGCGAAAATGACAATAAAAAATTGTAGCATCCCCACCCACTTTCAGATAAACTTCCTAGTCGCAACTCCCATACGACATTTTGTACTTTGTTACTGCCAAATGTGTTTCCGCTTGGGCTGAAACAAGAGTGACATTCCTTTCATCACACGCGTTCCGTCCCTCAACCAATCATTCACCAACAGGCTAAAATCTGACTGACATGCAAGTTCCCGTGGTGGGATTGGGGGTCTTTTTTTCTTCTTTTCGCAGCCTTGTCATGCACTACCTCGTGTTCTGCCATCCTTCGGCGCATCTTGTACCTACAATGTACAGGGTAAATACGGGCGAAATTTGGCAGGGGTGCGCTCGGGCATGCTCATCTTCTCACCGGTCAGACTATTAAATCGGGTCAAGATGGAGCTGGCGGCCTTAATTGACGTCACCAAATGCCTATGGAGATTCCTAAGGTATATGCTGGATTTAGTTTCCATTCCAGCAACAGCTACTCTGCTTGGTGAATTTGAACAGAAAATTCTGAGTAGGCTGACGAGCGGGGTTAATGCCCCCTTTGATTTCTGTAGAAGTTCTGTGATCGACTTCTATACTCCCTCCGAACCCCAGGTATAATATCCCTTTTACATACCCCACCGTGCTAACACCCCCTAATCTAAACCAGCCCCTGTGGATACCAATATGACTACAAGTGAGCAATTTGACTACGTTATTGTCGGTGGTGGTACAGCTGGCTGTGTCCTAGCCTCACGGCTGAAGCAATACAACTCCTCTTTGTCGATCTTGCTTATCGAAGCCGGCCCTGATGCCAGCAACCACCCCCTCGTACCAGACGGAAGTAAAGCCCCTCAGTTACTTGGATCAGAGCTTGATTGGACATACGAGACGGTGCCGCAGAAACATCTTTCTGATCGTGTACTCTCAAATCACGCGGGGAAGGCTCTGGGTGGTAGTACCACAATCAACAGTGGTGAGCTTTAGCAATCATAGATCGGAATCCTGAGCTTGGAGGTGGCGAGGGTGGGTTTTGTTTTGTTAGACAGTCCAGAGCTGATGACTCCCATGTGGTGCGATTAGGCGGATGGATGCGGGGTATAAAAGAAGACTATGACCTCTGGGCCAGCTTAGTCGGTGACTCTCGATGGAGCTACCAAGGTCTCCTGCCTTATTTCCGGAAGCTTGAGCATCACTTCGATCCTTCGGCCGACCCCGAAGTTCATGGCTTTGATGGCCCTATCAAAACTGAGTCCGCTTCGTCTACAGGCCGCAGGTACCCTCTTCGTCAAATGGTGCAAGAGGCCTGGAATTCCGTCGATGTAAAATATAACCCCGATATCAATTCCGGCAGTCCTTTTGGGCTGGCTGATGTTGTTGAGAATCGCGAAAACGGGATGCGACAAATGTCGAGCTCCGTTTATACGCTACATGTGGAAATCATGACTGAAACTCTGGTCAAGAGAGTGCTAGTGGAGGAACGTGGGAGTCAAAAGGTTGCAATAGGTGTAGTATTGGAGGATAAGGACGAAAGCCAAATCATGGCACGTCAAGAGGTTATCATTGCTGCGGGCGCATATCGTACCCCCCAGCTCATGATGCTGTCGGGTATTGGCCCAGCGGAAGAATTACGAGCATATGGGATCAATGTTGTCCTTGATCTTCCGGATGTGGGCCGTCACTTTGCGGACCATGTAGCTGTCTCGCAATGGTGGCAGTTGAAGCACCCAGAGAATGGGCTAGCATTCGGATCACCCGCCTTCACTGACCCAGCTTTCTTCCGGGGAAATCCCATTGACTTTGTGGCCTTAGATTCAGTGCCTCTCGATGGCCTTCGGCAAGCACTGGTCAAGGACGACCCCAATTGCAACCCAGATGAGCATCCGCTTATTACCTCCCAGCGCGTGCATGTGGAAACCTTTACCGTCTATGTGGCGCACAACGCTCAGGACCCTAGCATCGCAGTGGACGGTACACATATTACGACAGGCGTGTCCTGTATGCTTCCAACTTCTCGGGGCAGCATCAACTTAGCAGATCGAGACGTCCGAAGCGCACCTCGTATCGATCCTAATTACTGTGCTACTGAGGCTGATCGATATGTCCTGCGGGAGGGACTTCGGAAATTGCGAGAAGTCTTATGCGATACTCCAGCGGGACAGAAAATGATTCTTTCCGAAACAGTTGAAGAGAAATATCAGCCCTTAGGTCCTGATACGGGTGATGAAGCCATCGATGATCTCATCCGTCGCCGAGCTGCGTAAGCCCATATTTGCTCTACCATACTACATATCATTTTGTGCGAGATAATATTGCTAATGAGCATAGGACGCTGTACCATCCTACGGGCGGTGCTTGCATGGGCAAAGTGGTTGATGGTGATCTGCGTGTCAAAGGGATCGATGGGTTGCGAGTTGTCGATGCGAGCGTAATTCCGACTCCATTGAGCACACATATACAAGCGTGTGTGTATGCGTTGGCTGAGCAAGCTGCGGATATTATCTCGGGTGTTTGTAGTGTCTGATAACTGTTTTTGATAGTACGTAGCAGACGCATGTTATTAGTACTAGTCAGAGTCATATCCTAGTGTAAAGATATACTATCAATGTCCTTACTAGCAGCAATATATATATCAATAAATATTCGTAACTCTTCACAACGGTGTACAACTTTTACAAACGTTAAAATACTACTTCTCTACATGACTACTCATCACAATTGGTGCGAAAGAAACTTAATACAGATAACCATTATCAGTGTCTGGTGTGTCGGCATAGTCGGCCTCTCCCGCTCAAGAGAAGTGATGGCGGAGGTGGCCTTGTAGCAGACGGCATGTCCTTCAATTATGGATAGGAAGCCGCAGCGAAGAATGCCCCGATAGACGGAATCCTCCTCAAGCTATTTTCTGTTAAAATGACGGACACACAACAGTAACTCATATAATTAGCCTTGTGTTCCCTAAGTTGTCTTACTTACTGGTTTCAACTGATGTTACATGAGAGTCCCATGCAGGTCTGGTCCAATCACAAGATCAATCATCGGAGGCGACCTGACCCCCTCACCTTTTTTAGTATTTAAACCAACTTCGTTTCAATTCTTCTATTATTTCCGTCACTAGTGAGTAATCCATTTTCTGATTATTATTCTTGTCCTGTCTACTGTAATTCTTGCCCTTCAATCCACCATGAGGGTTGCGACAGAGCTCCCCCTTCGCATCCTTACACACAACATCCGATATGCTACCTCTTCACCATTCAAAGGCGAGCGCCCCTGGGCAGACAGAGTACAGCTTCTCTTGAACGAGCTGCAGTACAACACACGCCATGCGGAAGGCTTTATTTGTCTACAGGAAGTCCTACACAACCAACTGGTTGACATCCTCACTGGACTCAATGTTTCCAAGCAGAACAATGCGTGGGACTATATCGGAGTGGGACGAGATGACGGCTGCAAAGCAGGCGAATATTCGCCTATCCTCTTCCAACCTTCCGTCTGGCAACTACGACACTGCGAGACTGTCTGGTTATCTGAGACGCCCGACATTCCGTCCAAGAGCTGGGATGCCGCCTCGATCCGCATCGTGACCATCGGTGTCTTTACCCACCGTGCCAGTCGCAAGACGATCTTGGCGATGAATACCCACCTGGACGATCAAGGGTCTCGGTCCCGACTAGAAGCAGCCCATATTATCCTGCACAAGTTGCAGGAGTATCGGACTGGGAAAGCCTTTGGCCCCATGATCTCGGGGATGTTCCTGACAGGGGACTTTAATAGTCAGGAAGACCAAGAGGCGTATACCGTCTTGACGGCGCCGGAGTCACCTCTGGCAGACGCAGCGAAACTGGTAAACCCCCGCGAGCGTTACGGAAACCACAAAACCTGGACGGGGTTTGGACATGAAGGACAGGACCCGACGCGCATTGACTACGTACTGCTCGAGTCAACGGCAGACAAGGTTCTTAGCCATGGTCGTCAGCCATGGGCAGTGGAGGGCTATGCAGTATTGGCGAACCGATTCGACGATGGGGTCTTTAACTCGGACCATCGGGCGGTGGTCATCGATGTGATGTTATACGACTAGTCAACTAGCGTCAAGGCCCCATCAGCTGGGTTTCTTCATTCCCAGAATCCCCGAATGCTTTTTATACTTCAGTAGGGTTAGAAAGACGCGAATACTTAAGAACATGGACTTTATTTTCGAGGGAGATCAGCCAGAAGTGATACACATCCGTACCGATCCGAAGACCCGGTCAATCCACCATCAAAACGGCTCGGTGACGCCAAGGACCGGCAATGACGCCCTAGCGTCCCTCATTTTACCTACTCAGGAATGGCGTGGTGTCACCTGACGTCCCAATGGGGGATAGCGAGCGGACACGCGCTGCTTACCATACGAGACAGCGAACGGTATTACCGCAGGCATACAGTATCCAGCGTAAGGAAGGTTACGATCAGACCAGAAGGCAAAGCAGCAGAAGAATGGACCTGGAATGGCTTCATGAGAGTCCCTAAAGGCCCTGCGGACCGGTTGCTGATCGCAGGAGACTCTGCTGGTGCTGCTGGCACCAGCCCTGCTGCCCCCTTCCCCTAACCCTTCTGCCTTCACACACGGAACCCGAGCAGACCAGACTTGTAACGGGCCGGGCAGCGCAGAAGAGCGACCTGGTTACTACCTACTTTACTCTCAGTCGACCTTTTCTCGCGCCCGTTTCCCCTTCTTCCTCCTCTTCTCTCCTCTTTTTCCCTCCCGCCGCAAAGGAAAAACCCGCCAAAAAAGCCACTACTAAGAAGTCGGGGGCAAAACCACCCAAACCACCCCACGTTCTTGTGCGATCCAACGATTGGATCGCGTCTAGCATCTTATCTGGAGATCGAATCAGGGGAGCTCGGGACCAGAAATTAAAAAGAATCGGGAGCTGGAGCTGGAAGTGTGATCGAATACCGGCCAGATCCCCCCGGGAGCAAACGTCAGCTGATTAGCCCGGTTCTCGTCCGTTTCCTCACTTGTGAAAGGCAAAAGAAAGACCCAGACCGGCACGCAGACCCATCCACTTCTGCCTGAGTCTTGCCCTGGTACCAGCCATTCCGAGTCGCTCTGCTCGGATTACGGATATTATTGTCCCCTTCCTTCTTGGTTAGTATCATTCTTTTTTGTTGTTGTTCTCATCGTGTTTCCTTTATTCTTGCTCGGTCGCGTCCCCAATTCGTCCTGCATTCCCTTCCTTCCCTTCTGCCGGTTGGTTGGTATGTCTTCTTTGCTTCCTCCCTCCCCAGCTCGTCAGTCATCCATTGCCCTTCGCTGTTGATACTCCGTGCGGCCGTGCGGGGCTTGCTGTCGGGGCGATCTCTAGTCAGGACTTGGTTGATGCGACTCACCTGGGAGTAGCTTTGCGACATGCTTGTCCGTTGCGCACATCCGACGACGTATCGCGCCTCCGCCCGGTGCGCCGTCGCGTCGCCACTACCATTGACTTTTCTACACATGGGACTCTCTCATACAGCTAGCTGACTTGGATGCGTCCGATCCTACAGTCCTTCTTCAAGGATGCTGCCGTGACTGAGTGTCGTCTATTTTCAGTTATCCATCCTCGCCGCTCAATTAGTGCCTCCTCATCTCTCCACCTATCCGTGCAAGTGACGTCTGTTTTGCCTCGCCCGACACGCCAAGGACGACCGCGGAACACTTCAATCTTCCTATCCCCAGCATGCCCTCGCCTGACCTCTCTCAGCCTGGACAGTTCTCAATTGACGCCCCGACAGACGACGGACAAATTGGTTCAGGGATGTCTAACATAAGCGGGGATTATGGCGCTGTCGCGTCCGAGACTTCTTCCGGACAAGGTTCAGGCGGATCTGATGCGATTGCAGAGGGAAAGCAGAACGCAAAGGCTGTTCTCGCCGCATCAGGGGTGCCTCTAGGCTCTACCGAATCCGCCCATGACGCGTCGAATGGCAATCCATCACCTTTGTCTCAGGCAAACAGTGCCAATGGATCCGCGTCGAGCAAGAAACGATCCCGGGATGGCTCTGTTATCAACTCCTCCCAATCGACAGAAGGCCTCCCCGTACGTGTACGTGAGACTCCCGCCGACAAGATTCTTCTTGAAGACTATGTCAACCGGGAGTTCCATCACTCCGCCTTGACAGCATGGCAAAATCCCAGCCAGGAGCTTCTACATCAGAAACGCGCTGAGCGCGATTACTTCTTGGCCGTACGACGCGAGAACCACATGAACCCAGCAGCTCTTTATGGTGTTGGCTACGAAGGCTTCGGCAATCAGCGTACCGATTTGCGGAATCAACATCCCCAGCTATTATATCCTGCGAATCGACGTCGTCCCGGGAACCGGCGGACGAGGGAACTCCGAATCTCCCGCAAGGATCTAAAGACGCAGAATGAACAAATCGAAGACTTAGTGCCAATCCGCTTGGATATCGACTGGGAAAAGATCAAGATTCGTGATACTTTCACGTGGAACCTTCATGATCGCGTGATTTCTCCCGACTTGTTCGCAGAGAAGCTCGTAGAGGATCTACAGATCCCTATCGAGTCGTGTGCGCCGCTGATACGGATGATCTCTTCGAGTATCCAGGAGCAGCTTTGCGATTATTATCCTCAGATCTTCATGGAAGAAGAGCCATTGGATCCTCACCTCCCCTACAGCGCCTACAAGAATGATGAGATGCGCATTCTAGTGAAATTGAATATTACGATTGGCCAACATACACTGATTGACCAGTTTGAGTGGGACATCAATGACCCTCACAACTCCCCCGAGGAGTTTGCGGAGCGTATGACCGACGACCTGTCTCTTTCCGGCGAGTTCACGACCGCGATCGCACACTCAATCCGCGAACAATCACAACTTTTCACCAAATCCCTCTACATCCTCTCCCACCCCTTCGATGGCCGTCCGATCGATGATCCTGACCTGAAGACCGCATTCCTCCCTACCCCTCTGACCTCTTCTTTCCGACCTTTCCAGGCGGCAAAGGAATTCACTCCCTACCTATACGAACTGAACGAAACGGAGCTCGAGCGGACTGAGGTGTCGATATCGCGAGATCAACGCCGACAGAAGCGGTCTGTCAACCGTCGTGGTGGACCCGCACTGCCCGACCTCAAGGATCGTCAACGCACTATCCGGACCATGCTCGTCTCGACAGTCATACCCAACTGCGCAGCGTCCCTGGAGGATAGCAACGTGTACAAGCGGTCGGGCTCGAGCCGTTCTAGGCGCGCTGCCGTCGGCTTGCGGGATACTGGAGAGGAGTCCGAGGAGTCCGACAGTGACGAATCGTCAATCACCGGCTCCCCTGCTATCGGGCCTCACCTAGCTCAAGGAACGGCACGTACACGAGGCATGAGAGGAGCTGCCAGCGCGGCACATGCGGCACTGCGAGCGAGTCTGGGCCAGTCCGCCACGCCCGAACCACATAACGAGGCGAGAGCTGCAAGTCGCAGGCGCGAGATTCGCGAGGAGAGCGTTGTAGAAGAGCCGGATAAGCTGCTCGTCAAGCTCAAGATCTCCAAGGAGAAATTCCGGCAATTCCTCACGCATGGCCTGCAGTCAATACAAGGCCTTGCGACCCCGGCAGCACAACCAGCCTCGCAGCAGAGCACACCCCAAGTTCAGACTCCCACCCCGAACCCCATGGCTCCGCCCGCCGCTCCCCAACCCGAAGTCCGTGTACCCAGCGTTCCTCCTCCCGGACAACGACCAGTCCCCGCCCAACAGATCGGAGCCGTAGATGCTCCTCATCCCCCTCAGCCAGGAGTCCCCGGGGTGAGTAACTAACGACCTATTACTTCCATCTCGTCACCTCCACACGGGCCGCAATGTCTGGCTACCGAAGAAGTGCCGCAGACAGCCACATACTAACATGATTTTATCTAGCCCCCGCCGCCAAGTTGGCTTGCAGCGGGACTCGCACGCTTAAAACTCTCCTATCCCAACGATTCTTTCGAAGGGGTCATGCGCTACACCGCTGTTGACACGGAAACCATGCTGCCGGTAGCAAACTCCAACAGTCAGCCGGGCCACAAGCTGAAATACCAATACCTCCCTCGCATTCGCTGCCACGACTGTCCGGGTAAGCTGTACACTCCAGGACCCGGCACGACAGTCGACAATTTTGAAGTACATCTCCGGAACCGCCAACACAAAGAACGGGTGGAAGAACGTGTTGCGAAAACAGCAGCCGTAGCCGCAACCGGGGGCAACGCATCATAGTAATTAATGATTGAATGATGGAGCAGGGGGTGTCTATTTCTTCACTCATTAACCCGCATCAATGTACACTTTACACTCTTCTTTCCCTTCCTTTATTTCACTCCTCATTGTTCCCGCCTTTGGCATCATCCTCTTGACTGTCTACTTCAAATCATTGATGTCTGTGTATGTACATGACTGAGCGATTGTTCTTGGTTTTTCCATCCATCCATCCATTCTATCCTATCCTATCCCTTGATTCCATATTTCCATCTTGTTGGATGTCTCTACTATCAGAAATACCTTGGAAGATGGATTACTCACCCTTATCTCTTTCTCCTCTACTACTTCCTTCCTCTACACCATGTCATTTCACCATACCTACCTACCTACCTCATGGTCGGCGTAAATAAGGGACCTCTTCGTTATTGTCGTGCTTCTTGGGCAGCAGCGTTGCAAGAGAATCATCGAAACCTGGCAATTCCATTACCCTTGAATACATATTCGGTGACATATATCACATACTACCGTATTTAAGTTCTCTAGTAGATTTAATTACCAACTATAGGTTTGTAGATTCAGTTCATGTAATAATGCAACAACTACTTCGATGCAACCCGCCCACCAGCTGAACTGAATTTACTTACATACATACAATCCTTCACTGCAGGGACCAAGCCAGTCTACTTACTAAGTAATTGCAGTCAGTAGTAGTGGTAGTTTAGGAGATAGAGAGTCTCCCGTCACATTCCAAAATCGCCATCCATCGCCTAGTTGGTGTGACGTAACAGGCTACTTGATATTTACATATACTCTTCTTCATTGGTCACTATCCTGGGGTCAAGTGAGAAGAGTGATGGGAATGGTAGGATTGGGTTTATACAGGTAATTAGTTAGGGAAAGGAGAATAGGCAGGAAGATGAAGATGAAGAAATACGGACAGATAGATAGTCAAGACAAATGGATGGATGGATGGATGGACAACATACATGCGGAGTACATACATACATGCACACATATCCTAACTGCTTGCGGGAGGGATGGACTTGACAAGAGAAATGAGATAAACTGCGATTTGAAAGAAGATAGATAGATCGATGATAGAGATGGGTATACACAATTCGATTTGATTCATATTCAGTTCCAGTTCAGATTGTATCGATGATATGAAAAAGGGAGATGAATTGACTGCTTAACAATGTGGTAGGTTGGGGACGAATTCAAAAGATTCCATAAGTAGAAAGGAAGATACAAAGGATGACACCATCCCCGACAAGTCAATGAAAAGATACAATATAAATCATTTCGAACTGACGCTGCAAATATCACATGTTCACTTCGCGCTGGTTTTTGATACATACATGCTAGCTAAACACTCAGGGGAGAGAGGGTATCCAGATCCTCTTATCCTCTTCGAGAGGATCGCCGGTTTGGTAGAGTCGAGGTTCGTTTGCCATTGCCACTCGGTTTTGAAGGTGCTTGCTCTGTGGGTTTCTGCGGGGATGTAGGCGGCGGCGATGAGAGAGGCGAGTCTTCCCTGTCGCTTAGGATCTCGTCCAGGGCAGCTTCTTTGTCTGGAAGGTCGACGCTGTCGTTGTCCTCCTCGCTGTCGGCACCACCCTCTTCCTCTGCTTCCTCTTGTTCATCGGCTTGCTCTTCCTCCCACTCGTCCATTTCCATATCATCTTCATCGCTGTCCCGGTCCGCGTAACTGACTCTCCGGGATGCACCTCTGCTGCTGCGTCTCCTTGCTGCCGTGCTAGCTTTCTTGGCAGCTCCCTCATCCGAGGACCAACCGTCGTCGTCCTTCTTCTTTTTCTTGGGGGTCCTGGTGGTTCCCGCGGAGCCGGACGACTTGCGCGGCCGGGCGGGCTTCTTCTCCTTGTCTTTCCGTGCCTTCTTCGTAGCGCTTGCGTCGCCGCCTGCTTCAGCCGATTCGGGCTTTCTCTTCTTCGCCGAACCGTGGGACCCGCTCTTAGTCCTCATGACGGATCGCACGATGCGATCCAGCAAGTCCTCGCCTTCTTCCGGGAAGAAGTTCTTATCTGCAACCTCTTGCGCCTCGCGGTGGCTACCCATCGGGGCGAAGATCGAGCTTGGCACTCCCATCTTGCCGGGGTAAGTCTGCAGGATGTTGGTGCCGCCAGCTGCGCCTCCAAATTTGCGCTGTTGCGAGTAGATGTCCGCAAAGCGACGAATGGTCGCTTGGGCTAGGTCTGATAGCGTGTGGAGACGGGTGCTCATTTCGTCAGACTTTGTGATGCCGTCTCGTGTTTGCTTGACACGCTGTGCGATGTGGAAGATCAGCGACAGGTTGTGTTCATTGGCCACAGCCTGCAAATAGAAGAGAATGTAGCGGGAGAAGTCGACTAGTTCGGCTACCCGAGTAGACTCTTCCATTTCAGCCGGAGGATAGTCGGGGTGGTAGGCGAGAAGGGACAGTAGACGGGAGAACAAGGATTCCATGACCGTCTGTTGATCGCTTCTTTTGCCGTTGGTTTGTTGCGAGAAGAATGAAGCTCGCGACCGCAGCCAGGTGAGTGTGCTGTCCTTCAAGCTGGCGATAGGCTCGAAGGCGAGGAGGAAGGGGACTGTGTACCAACGGTAGCTCAAGTACGTTTTCTGTACAAGCTTTTTCTTGAGCTGGCTGATAAATCCACTTCTCACCTCGAGGACTGGGTCCTGAGCGACCAAAGCGATCGAGTTGAAATCCCGCGGGCTAAGCAACTGGTCGCAAAGTCCATGGGACGCGCAAAGCTTAAGCAATGACCTGGCTGCCAGTAGACGTAGCCGTGACTTTTGCGTTGCGGGCGTGTCCTTCTTCTTAGACAATTCGCCGTCGTTCACGACGAGTTTGTTTAGAGTATCATAGACCGGTCCGGCGTGAGCACGGAAGTCCTCTTCGTCATCCGAGCCATCCTTCGCGCGTAGGCGATTGACAATGATCTTCAGAGCCCACTCCTTGGCTGCTGTTTCATCATCCACTACATCAGACCACGCATACCCAGCGTCTGGCTGAGGAGAGCGATTGGTCAAGAGAATCTTGTTGACGGCAATCGAGATGATAGCGTCACTCTCATCATCTGCCTCCCGCGGAGCCAAAAGATTCAGCTGGGACAAGGTAGCCAATTTGGTGAGAAAGCGATCAGATCCGTAGGCCCAGTCGGACACGCATTTCTGTATCAGGTCCTTGGCGTACATCTCCTTCTTATCGGCAACAGCCATGAGGATAGAAACGGCATGCTTCGCCGCTTTAGGTGACGGACTGTGCAGTGCGTAGCTCACCAATGACTGGAGGAATTTCCGTTCCTTGGGAAGCTTCGATGGGAGCTTCTTTGCGAAACCAGAGCATGCTTTAAGGATCTCTTCGGTGCCCGCACCATCCTTCGTGGAGGAGCTGGGCGTCTGCGATTCCAGATCTTTGCACATTTCCTGGACCTGCGCTTCCAGTACCTCGGGATTTCGAGAAGAGATCTCCCGCAACATCTCCTGGGCAGGGTTAGCCAAGCCATTCTCATCCGTTCTTGAAAGACTCATGATGGCTGGAATATGGCTTCTGTTGAACACCAATGAGCTGGAGCGATACAAGAGAGGCGTGAGAGTATCAAGCAGGGAGGAATTGTTGGAGCTTTGCAACCTCCTTCCCAGCTCTTTGATGGCTTTGACGACGGTCCGGTAATCACTGACCGCAGCCATTGAGAACCGGATCAGCTGGTAACCACGCCGGTCGTGCACCTTGGCGAATTTCCAGAGATCTGCAGATGTCCGCGACGGATCAGGGAGAAGTTTGGACAAGGTGTCAATCACTTTGCTCAACTGAGCCTTGATTCGTTCTTGGTCCTTCTCCATCACGCCGCCCTATATCAAAAGGCATCAGCACTGAATTTTTAAAGGGACTGCCTCGGCACTTACATTGTACTCCTCGCAAGCCTGCAGATAGACCGTCATCGCTGTCCTCATAGATATTTGACGGGCTTGCATGGCAAAGAACACCTTTTTCGCCTTCTCATCGAGGCTTTTGAGAAGGGTGAGTATGCGACGGGCCCGGATCTTGTCAACGTCAATATCTCCATCGCCTTCCGAGGCCTGCGAGTCTTTCTGCTTCTGAGACTGACTCGAGCTACTCCGCGTCAGCTTACTCTTGACGGGAGGATAGTTGAGCGGAAGCAGGATATCGAAGAGGACGCGATCGATCAAGACGTGAATGTCAGGATCATTGGTGAAGAAGGCATCGAAGATCTTGGAGGGTCCATCCTTGAGCAGAGTGACTGCTGGCTCGTTCGCCTGCTCAATTTCACCCACTGCAACGGCCCAGATTCGAGCCAAGGTCTGCGTTGCGTGCTCGCGGACCTGTGGCTTGCGATCCTTGACTCGCTCGGCAAGGATGAAGAGGAGGGAATCAGGGGTAGAAAAGCCTCCACTGGCGCCCAACTTGTTAACGACCTGGGTCAGGCCGAAGTTGCTGATGGCATCGACGGCGGCAACCCGCACCTTCTCGTCCGCATCGCGAAGCATCGAGGCGATATGTTTGATGAGCGACTGCTCTTCGCTTTCGCTCAAGCCAGAGCCACCCGCAGATGTCAGCAGAATCCGGCCGACAACGGTGACCCAAGCCGCTCTTACTGAGGCGGATTTGTCCAGCCGGCGACTCAGAAAGCTTTCATAAGTGGAGCTGTGTGTCTGCGAGAAGGGTTTCGGAGAGAAGGGGGTGAGAAGAACACTAGGTTGAGGGATCGTCTGCGCGTACTCCTCTATGGCCACCGGCGGATAAGCGGCAGGATCCATCGGCGGCGGAGGGGGTGGTCCAGCAACCCCGATACCTGCCGTAAGATCACCAATGGTCTGGGTAGCCAGGAGACGCAAGGACAGCGACTCTGCTGACAATTCCGCCTCGAGTTGCGGAACCACGTTCTGCAACACCTCGGGACATGCTCTCCACAGTTCTCGGATGAGGCGGTGCGCCTTGCTCAATTCCTTGATGTCTTCTCCCTCCTCGTCGGAATCGTCCAGATTGGGCTTGCGATGGCCGCCCTTTGAGGATCCATTCGCACCCTCCGCAGACGCATCAATGATGACGTTGTTGAAATACTGGCTAATGTGGCTCGTCATCCTCTCCGGGCATGCTTGACAGATGGCCTTGGCCATATTGTACGCAGGAGGGTAGTCTTTCAGAAGAAGCGTTCCCTGCTTCGCATCCACCGGCGCATCGCCTCTCTTCCCTCTTTTATTCGGCGCCTCCATGGCACGGGGGTCGATGCGCAGAAATTGGGCCACTATGACATCGACCACATCGGCGGCAAGAACAGGCGTCTCGTCGATAACCGTCACGAGCAGGCGCGTCATGTCGAACTCAACATTCTTGGCGACCTCCTCCCCCGTAGACGTTTTAGAGGACCCAGAGACGATGTCGAAGCAGCTCGTAAATAGAGGGATGATCAATGAATCGGGATGGTCCAGATCTGTCATCAGCACGATACTCTTGACCTCCGCAAGAGAGTTCAAGACGTAGATGTGCTGAGCATTGTAGGAGTTGGATGGGTCCCCGAGCGCGGGGACGATGGACGAGACGATGCAGGTAAAGATGTCCTAAATTTCGAGCGAACGTCAGTCAGCACGATCATCGCGCGCAAGCAATAACGAGAGATGAATGATAAAGGCCGAGTGCGACCGTCTTCAGGGGTTGGCAATTGGCCGCGCACCTTCAGTTGATTGCCCGTAAAAGGCGCGTCGGGCGCACAGAGACGCAAGACATCGACGATACAACACGCCGCCCAGGCTCTCACGCCGCGATCCTTGTGCGCCAGAAGATGAGCCGACGCGAGCTCCTGCGAAACCTTTTTCAGCGAGTCCGTATCAATTTCCTCCTGCTCCAGTCGGCGAAGCTCCTGCGCCAGGGTCTGCAAGCGTTGCAGCAGATCGGCGATGGGAATGGCGGACCGTCCGACGCGCCAGGATAGAGGCTCATTGAACTTGAGACGGCGCAGGCCCGCAGATGTATCTTCCGGGTCCACGGCCTCCGAGGCGACGGAGGGGCCCTGACGAGTGCGCGCGGGCATCGTGGACAAAGCGCGGGGAAGCCGAGGGAGTTGGAACGAGCTTCAATACACCATGCGCGGTATCGGAGGGGGGTGGGAGTTGAAGAGGGGAGGGGGCAGTCGACGTAGAGATAGGATAAAGAGACTCGGATGGTAAATGATGTGTGTCGAAAAAGGGGGGAGGGAGGGAGGAAATGAAGCTGCACGTGGGAGGAGAAATTGGGGGGGAAGAAGAAGAGAACCGATAGACGGTGGACTTGGAGGAGGAGGGAGTGAGAGAGTGACTGGCCGAGCAAAGCAAAGCAAAGCAGAGCAGAGCAGAGCACAGCACAGCACAGCAAAGGAAGTCCGACCGGCGAGACCAAAAGAACCACCAGAAAATCACCGCCTTTCCACCGCCTCCACTTTCGGGACGCGTCGCGCGACTCCTTTGCTTTTGTACGGTTTCAGGAACTTTTCTACTATTATGCCAGTACAGTTGTCTACTGAGCAGTACGCAGTAGGGGACTTCTGGTCAGAAATGGTCTTAACTCTTAATTTCTTGCATGGATGAAGAAATGAAGAAACAGGGTGGATTTGTCTTTGACCTCCCTGCCAGTTGGTGATTTGACTTGGACTAAGCCGGATGCACGCTTCCCAATCGGTCTGGAGGTGAGCATTGGCCAATCAAGAGTAGAGACGGCAAAGCAACCCGTTGGCACATTCCGGGTTTCACCACCAAATGAACACATTAATAATAACAATTAATATATACCACTATCATCATCATATTATTTTGTATTGCATATATATTTATACGGAGTACACCGGCAGATGCAAATGCAAACGCTAGTTATCTATATCCCCCATTGTCACATTATTACCTCAATCAATAAACATTAATCATCCCAAGTTCTATATCCGCTGGAAACAACGCCATGATGCTGATGCTGATGCTGATGATGCATGAAGAATGCTGAGTGGGTCACACCCATCAAGAGAAATCCATGAGAGAAGATGCAAGTTTTCAGTTCCTGTTTTCGTCCTCCTTTATTCACTCTTCCACCCCCATTTACAACTTGGGACTGAACCGGCTCATAGCCCGAAGCTTCTTGCCGTAGAAGAAGAAGAGGACGGGAATGGGAATCATGGCGACCGTGATGAAACCGAGCAAACTGGAGGCCCAGTCTACTCCCAGCTTGTTATACATTTGCGTGGCAAAGAGAGGGAAGGCACCTCCCAGGCTACTCCGCACCAAGGTGTTGGCGGCGATGGCTGAGTTGGCGAACATCAAGTACACGTCAATGATGTAGTTGAGTCCCTGCATGAAAATCACCAGGATTCCCATGCCAATGGGCACACCAGCCACAACCTGAGCGCCCCAGGAGGTACTGGGATGCGAGGTCCAGCCGAACCAGAACAGACCAGCGGGCAGCAGCACCGACGCAATCATCATCGGAATGAGACGCTCCTCCGGCACCACACGGCCGTGTTTGGCCAGCTTCCGAGCGAATCGCGTCTTTGTCTGCCAGATAATCAACGCCGCTCCACAGAGCACTCCCACCAGGATGCCAATGAAGGGCAGCCCTGCAATACCCTCGTTCGTCCACCCGCGCACGGACTCAAACGACACCGGGTAGGCTTCGAAGAACAGATAGAGGATGCCGTATACCAATGCCAAATACAGAGTGATCAGAAGCAGAATGGGCTCGAGGAAAAGCATCATCACCGGCCGCAAGAGGTACTTGGTCACGATGTCGTTCATCGTGGGGCGAGCATTGTCCAAAAGGGAGTGCAGAGCCTCGTTCCCAGTCTCCCGGCGAAGACGGGCGGCACGTTTCTGAAGGATCCTCGGCGCGTAGGTTTCGGGGACAATAATGAAGGCCAGCAGGCCAAAGGATCCTGAAGCAATCAAAGTAATCCAGGCTGTCCAGCGCCAGCCAAGGTACGAGTCAGTGAGGTACCCTCCGACAATAGGACCTAAATCAGACATGTTAGCAAATGGCCTCTGCAGTATGTTATTCATTCCACAATGGAAAAATATACTTACCAAGCACGGGTCCAATGAAGGTAGCACTGGCGAACGCTGAAATAGCAACCGCACGATCAACGGGATCCCAAAAGTCGGCCATAGCACCACCCACCACCGCCAGGGGCGAGCAGCCAAAGATACCAATCAAGAATCGGCAGACCAAGATGGTCTCCACGTTCTGTGCCACTGCAACGGGGATCTGAAAGATGGCGAAGATGGCGTAACCAGAGAACAAGGGAATCCTACGTCCATACAGCTCCGACAGAGGAGACCAAAACAACGGTCCAACTGCGAATCCGAAAACCACCAAACTGGTTGCCAAAATCATAACCTCAGTCGAGACACCGAATTCCTTGGCAGTCACAATGGTTGCAGTCGAGAAGACACTACTGGCGAACGTGATCCACGTAGTCATGAATGACAGCGACATGGTGATCAACCACTTGCGCCAACGGGGCATGTTCTGGGGATTTTCGGGGTCATCTGGACCGTCCCATTCCACCAAATTGGGATCCTTTTCCTTCTCCGCTGCCTTTTCCAGTTCTGGTTGAGGTGCACCGGCCTCGATATCATATCCATCTTGCTCCAACTCCTTGTCGATGACGTCTTCGCGGCCTTTTTCTGGGTCGCCGGATGTACTGGCGGATTCCGATTTAAGAGTCGAGTCGGAGGATCGCAGATGCGCTTCGTGTGTTGTGTCGATATGCGAAGGTGCAATGTTCGATTCCGGTGCTGCAGCACTGGAAGTATGCTGTACGTCACTCATGATATATGTCTGCGCTCACCCGAATGCGCCAACGAGAGCTAATGATCTTGATGCTATGGGAGGGGGTTGCGAAGGGTGAGAGACCAGTTCTCAATGTGGAAACTCGCCCTGGACGGAGACAGATATAGTATACAATACTGTCTTCACAGACCAATCGAAACGTCTAGAGGGACTGGGGGATAGGATACGCAAAACACCTGCCGGGAGACTAGGGCCATGGTGGACATTATAAAGACATCCAAGCCTCTTCACTGAGTGGGCCTCCTCCAGCCAAGACATGAAGAAATGATTAATCAAGACCGGTCTTAATCATGGAAAAGCCGACGGGGTTAAGCCAGGCGGGATATCTCCAGCGAGGGACCCCACTCCTAGGACCGGTCCATATTGACCATAACATCCCAAGGTTCCAGGATCAGGTTACCCACCTTCCTACAGATTCCCGACTGACCTCAGAAGTGATCCTGTGCTTAGGTTAGGGCAATGCCATCATGCCCGGACCTAATTATGAGCCGTTATATCCGGAGGATGACCAGGGTCCCCGGTGTTTACAGGATTCTCATTGGGGACATACTGATCTGTAGGCCAGACATAGCGCAAGCGTCATGAATAATAATGCGCTTCCCCGGCTGCACAACAAGCCCCTCAGGCAGCACTAACAGATTGGGGGCCATGGGATGCAAACTCTTCGCTCCATGCGGCCAAGTGGGCACCAGCTCGCGCCTCGGTGGCTCCGAATCTCCGAAATGATTCATGAAAAAGGTTAGATATCAGCACTGGATCCAGTGCCCACTTCTACCCGATGGCTTGGCACGCCTATCTCGACATTTCTCGACACTTCGTCCTCAGGACGTGCGCAGACTGACCGTTGACGAGATCAGTCGGTTTCATGTGTTTGTGCCAGACTGTAGTAGATATGTCAGCAATAGCAGCACGTGGTAGTTACAGCAATCGATCTGCCATATCACGCAATCCACTGTTGGACTTATTATCTGCGCTTCTGCAACTTGTGCAGTGATTCGTCATCCGCTTAACTTCAGCCTGTCCACGGGCCACACGCTGAGATACGAACCAGGAACGGCGGCACATTTTCTGAGACCGAAAGCCGAAACCATACCCAATACGGTTAATATTCCAGTTGCTAATCCCCGACGTCTTGAAACCTCATCAGAGAGCTAATCTACTTGAAGATAAACAGGCTGACTTTGTGCTTGTGTGGCTTGGATAGTGTTGTAGTGGGACCATGGGAAGAAAAAGATAGGGGTTCCATAGATTTTAGCTATGGGCTCCATAAATTTTTATTTTCTCTCTTTCCATTCTTTTGCCGTCTAGACCTTCGACAGATGGAGACCTGACTGGATCCTGCAAGAAAAAGAGAAACGAAACAGAAAATTGTGACAGATCTGCAGCAGGTCAAGTCTCTGACACTCACCTCCTATCTGTTACTAGATAGCTAGGTCGTAGACAACTCATGCCGGAGAATAAAGTCCAAGGCAGATCAGTTTGACAAACGAAACAAAAAGTCTATTCTCAAAGAACTTATCCGCCCGCTACATGATAGCCCGTGACGAGAACCGCATTAGCAGGAGAGCAAACAGCCCCAATGACCACCACCACCAAACGTATTACAATAAAAAGTTGATGATTGAAGAAATTTCCATCATCCACCAATCAACTAACAAGGCAAGATTTACCTACTACTTACAACACAGGGCCATACGGAACTATTCCGATCCACCACACACACACAAGAGAACAGTGAAAAAACCCTTCTCTACCATAGTTTAAACATCGAACCGAACCTATCTAAGCTAAGCAATCAATAATGCCCATGTCCGAAACCATGAAAGAAAGAGAAGAGCTTGAGTGATTGTGGATCAACTTCGCTTTACTTCATAAATGTATAGTATATATTTCGATAAGGAGAGAACAGACTATAACCAATCAGACACTTTGGCCGAGTGGTTTAAGGCGCAGGCCTGCTACTACTCCTCCGTACTAGCTGATTAGCCTGTGGGTTCGCCCGCCTGGGTTCGAGTCCCAGAGGTGTCGCATTATTTTTCTTTTTTCCCCCCCTCCCTCCTTTTATCTTCTTATTACTGTCTATATTTAGATTAGGTTACTCACTGTTGTTTTGTTTCGGAGCGCATAACTGGGTGTGTGAGAGGGAATGGTTCTATCCGTGTACTACTTGCTATTTATGCCCGATTTTCGTGCCTCTATCATACTACTGACAAAGTACATTGTATGTATGTGATAATAGTATGTATGTATGTATGTAGTATATCATGAAACCAAACCCCGAACCCTACCTACGCCCCAATCTTCCCATACAAACATGCCATGCATGCATGCATGCACTGATACCTAGCCAGCTACTACTCACTAACAAGGTCGTAAGTACCTCCTAAGACAGTTCCAGATCAT